ACTACTCATAACTTTGACGGTTTATTTTGTTTTAAACCTGTCATCCACTCGTTTTCGTTTAGTTGATCAGCGTGCGATCGCTAGCAAGTCATAAAGGCGATGGTGCCGCGAACTTGGTTGTAATAATGTAAGCACTTGGCTGGCCGAGCGCCCTCTATTTCCGACATGGCAATGGCATCTATTTCATCGCTCTCGTGCCCGTCTCCCGACACATCTTCTTGTCTTTTAAATGATCGATTTGCTCCTCAGATTTTGTTCATTAACGATTCCGTTCCCCGATGTGGTCACGTGCCAATCTCGAGCCTACATCGCATGGCAGCACCCTCCGGTCATATCTTCTTCTTTACAATCTTACCACCGCAAGCTCATGGTGTCGTGATTGATTGTTTATCTGCCTTGCTGCCAAGTCTATTAGAGCTTCCTCCTGTGGTCCTTTTAGCATCATCTTACGCATCTTATGTTTATTAAGATGTTTAATTAATGTCTGCTTAATATTGCTTTTTCACATTTCTTATCTTACAAGAAATGTCGTTAAGGTTCCTTTTTAGAGCAAATGAAAAATTCTTTCGATTTTTTTCATTTACTCTTCTCAAAAAAGGCGCACTCATTTTTCCCCCTGTCGCTTACAGCTACCTACAGTATTTGATTCTTATCCAGTTCTTAGGCTTCTTGCATATGTTCTTATTCCTAAAATACTCTTTCTTCTAAACCAAAGTAGAAGTTTATCTTGTCAATCATCTCCCTACCTCTTTTAGAGTTCTTTGGTGTCGTGAATCTTTTCTGCTCGTTCTGTATTCCATGCCGCACATCGAACATTCGTAATTTCTTTTGAAGTTTCACGTACCAATTGTTTGATTTGAGCTTGTGCTCCTGTTTCAGATATATTTTGATATGCAGCTGTAGCGAATAGCTTGCACAGAGTGTACAGACTAAGCAATTTTCCATTTTCCTTCTAATTATGTCGACTGCGTCTCCTAAACCGTTGGGTAACGTGAAGTGTGAGCCTCAACCATCAACCAGTACAGCGAACGAAACAAGTGTACCGGTACACTATTTTCACTTAAATATATACTGTTTGTACATTTTAAAACCCATTTTCAATTATAGTTGAGCTCACCATGTCACCCGTCCCCAGCGCTAGCACGATCAGTCCCATCCTCCCAAGAAGCAACATCTCCATCAGAAACTGCTGGCAAAGATTTCGTCTTTTTCACGTACGTCACATTTCATCATGTTGGGAAGCGTAGACGTTGTTAGTGATTGTTGAAAATCATTTACAGGACGGAACTAGCCAACCAAGCCGCGCTAGATTTTGAA